GATGAGGGGCCATGTAGTGTCAAATTTCCACTCTGCTGGTATGTAGAGCAGGCGAGGGAAGCAATGATGAGGCTGAAATGAGAACTGGAAAAGGAGCAGTAGCACTTGAGACAGCAACTGGGTTTATTTCTTAGGGGATTACTCTACTTGCTATCTACTGTTTTCTAAATATATCATATTCATTCCAACCTCTGTGCCTTTACTGAGGATGTTTCCTCTGTTTGGAGTATCACCTCCTTTCTCACCACCTATCCAAATCCTACTTATCATTAATGCCCATACAAGTTCCCTCTTTTGCATCAAATATAGCAATAACATTGGTTATTTTCCCAAAAAGATAAAGCATGGTTAAAGGGTAGAGCTGGATAGGAGAAGTATCTAATAGGAAGTCTGTGGAAATAGAAGTGGGGAATTTGAAATTTGTACTTTGAGGAGAAAAAGGAAGGTATGGAATAGCCTTTGTGGAGACAGTGCCAGGGAACGTATGAGAGAACTAAAAGTGCTGTTGAGCAGCTGCAAGGGTCAAGTTGAAATTGGCCAACATGGATTTATATTAGTCTGCTTGGTTCTCCCTCTAGCACTGTTCTGTGACTTTGGGAACAGAAAAGAAGACAGAAGATGGTAGAGGCAGGGTCCCAGAGACAGTAACACTGTGTCTGGTATAACTAGGAAATAATTACTGATCTGGGTGAAATGAGAGGTAAAAGTACCTAAAGGTCCCACTGAGATTACAGTGAAGTGATCAGAGACAGAAGAGTTGTTTGGAAAAGTGTTATATCAATGTGAGATGTCATTCATCAGAGGGCTTCACTTGTTCCCAGACAGCTTTGTCAAAGGGCTCTGCTGGGCTAGAGAAGCATATTATCAGGTACCTCTTCTGAGATCCCTCTTGGGTTTTGGATGTTCTTAAATGGCTCTAGAGCAGTTTTAGTCAGGAGTAGTATGATCCCAAGCCAGCTAACTCCTTCTCTGAGCCTTGTTTTCCTCATCTATAAAAATATGTCTATAAAAATGAGGGAGAACAATGCGGGTGTGGCAATTAAGTAAAATAATGTAGGTAGGTGCCTAGCACAGTGGCATGATACTCTCTCTACTCCTTCAGCGCATGAATATAATCTTGAATCCAGAAGCTGATGAAGTATTATGGTAAATATGTTCTTTTATAAACTAGTAATGCCCATCTGTCAAGAAAATGCTATTTTTTTGCTGAAACATAAAACAATTTTGGGGGCCTCCCTGGTGGCACAAGGGGTTAAAGCATAGCATTATGAAGCTATCACAGTCACTTCAGCGTGAGTTCAACCCCTGGCCAGGGAGGTGACCCACATGGCATAGCAGACCTCTTCTGTCTCAACTGCTGCTCCCCTCAACAGTGTATTTTGGTCAATCTGCCTGTTCTGTTCCCCACTCTCTCTGTCTCTGTCTCTAGTGAATCCTCTCACCCCCCACACCTCTGGCCTGTACCCCAGGTCTTGTATACATATATAAATCTTTTTTAAAAATGAAAAAAATAAGTTAAATTAAATTAAATACTGGAACTATATCCTTGTTCTCCAAGGGGCGAAAACATCTCAACTTTCCTAATAGATTGAGGTGAAAACATGATGAACAGAAAAAGGATTAATAGGAAACACTTAGAAAGTACTTACTATATGCCAGACACTGTGGTAAATAAGTGTTCACTATTATTACTATAATACACAGATCTGGAACTCAAAGGAAAGCTATGCCCTAGAGATGAAAATGCATGAATCACCTGCATGTGGGTGATATTTGAAGACATGGGTATAATTGGGAGTGTGTAGAAGAGAGTTATATGTAAGAAGAGAACATGCCTAGGACTAAGTCACAAAGAGATCGAAAGGAATGGCCAGAGATTTAAGAAGACAACCAAAGAGGAATGACAGAAGTAATATATGAGTGTATTTCAAAGAACAAACCATCATAAGTGTCATTTTTTACTTGAGAGTTCAAGTAAGATAAGGACTAAAGGATTCCATTGGATTTAGTGACCAATGTCACTTGATTGTCACTATGACCTTAACACCACAGACTGAAGGGTGTTGGAAGTCTGACTAGAGTATTTTATGAAGGGACTAGGAAGAAGAATATAGAAAAAAGGGTATTTGTTTCAAGAAGTTTGGTTATAAAGGAGAGAAGGGAGTTAAGTAGTAGCTGGAAAAGGATGTGAACTCTAGGGAGATTGTTTTTGAAAGATTAGAGAAATGTAAGTGTGTCTAAATGTCAATGAAAATATCCAATGAAAGAGCAGGGTTAACAGGGCTTGTGGGAGAGTATGAGGGGTAAGATATGAAGCACAGTAGGAAGAAATGAGAACTTGTGGGGCTTCCCTGGTGGCACAATGAGTTAGAGCGCAGCGCTATGAAGTAGATATGCAGCCACTGCAGATACTGTGGCACAAGCTCGATTTCCAGACAGGAAGGTGACCCAGTTGGTGTGGCAGACATCTTCTGTCCAGCCTGCTGTTCCCTTCAGCAGTGTACTTCAGTAAATCTGCATGTTCTGCTCCCCACTGTCTCTGCTGAATCTTCTCACCCCACACTTCTGGCCTGTATCCCAATTCTTGTATGCATAAATAAATAAATCTTTAAAAATGAAGGAAATGAGAAATTGCTGCCAAGGTTAGAAAGTTTCAGTTCAAGGGCAAAATTTTATTTTCACTTCAAATACATAGAATAAGAACAGAAACCATATCAGAATGTGGAATTTCTAGATGTCCAGGAATTCCCTTTACTTCTAATCAAACTACTCTATGAGGTAGAAGTCATAACCCCTGGATGCATTCCATAACATCTCACAATCTTGCCTCAGTCTCCAAATTCTCAGCCATGCTATGTCTGTCATCCCATGTTCATTCTCCCACCCCATCATATTCTTAGTTCCCAATGAGATTATATTACAGTCCTCAAATCTGAACTGAGAGAAAATGGTGCCATGAAAAGATATGAGATCATTTTTAGTTTTTTTTTAAAGATTTATTCATTTATGCATACAAAAACTGGAGTACAGGCTAGAGGTATGGAGGGTGAGAGGATTCAACAGAGAGAATGGAGAGCAGAACAGGCAGATTGACTGAAATACACTGCCAGGGGAGCAGCAGGCAAGTCAGGAGAGATCTGCTGTGCCATGTATGTCAGCTCCCTGGCTGGGGATCTAACACATGCTGCAGTGGCTATTGATTGCTTTCATAATGCTTTGCTTTAACCTGCTGCACCACCAGGGAGGGCCCTCATCTGAGGTTTTGTAAGCTTCCTTGTTTGACATTTCTTGGAATTTGAATCTTCCCAGCTCTTGGCAATTCTGTGGAGGAAGTAAATCTGACTTAAGGGAAACTTGAAAGGCTTATGTCTTAATTTGTCTCTTCACAATCTAGATGCAGTCCACTTAACTTTTGAGTTCTTTTATGCTAGCAATGTATTACTTTTAGAATTTAAAATAAAATACCTTCTTGCCCCAGTCTGGTTCTCTGTGATTCCATACCCACCCAAATTTCTCATTCTTCAAATTTCCATTCAAATGTATTTGTGAAACCTCACATTTATGGTCAATTTATTTATTTGCATAGAAGAACTGGGGTGTAGGTGAGAGGTGTGGAGGGGGAGGGTGAAGGTGAGAGGATTCATTGAAGACAGAATAGGGTACATAACAGGCCAAATTTACTGAAATCTACTGCTAAGGGTAGAATCAGGTAAGACAGGAGAGGTCTGCTGCACAAAATGTGGATTAGTTCTCTGGTTGGGGAATGGAACTCAGGCTGCAGTGGTGATAGCACTCAGACTTAACCCTTAGGCCACCAGGGCAACCCCTATGGTCAACTGATTTTCAACTCAGATGCCAGGAGAATTTAAAGAGAAATAGTCTTTTCAACAGATAGTTCTGGGACAACTGGATATCAATATTATATAAATGTAAATTTGGGGGTCTCCCTAGTGTCACAGTGGGTTAAGTCTTAGCACTATGAAGCTATCAGCAGCCACTGAGGCATGAGTTCAATCTCTGGCCAGTGAGCTGACCCACATAGCACAGCAGACGTCTCCTGTCCCACCCACTGCTCCCCTCAGCAGTGTATTTCAGTCAGCCGACCTATTCTGATCCCCACTCTGTCTCTGGTAAATCCTCTCACCCACCTTACCTACCCCTAACCCACACCCCAGCCTACACCCCAGCTTTTGTATGCACAAATAAATAAATCTGAAAAAAAGAAACAATAAAAAAGAAAACATAATGCTAAGTGAAATAAGTCTACCACACAAGAACACATATTGTGTAATTTCATTCATATTATATGTGAATTGTAACTTAATAAAGCTATGAAAAAAATATTTCTTCTACAGAGTTTTCCTTTTCTACTACAGTCAGCATTAACCTTTCTATTTTCTTGATCTCCTACAGCTCTTAAAAACTATACTCACGGGGCCCTCCCTGGTGGTGCAACCGGTGAAAGCACAGAACTATGAAGCTATCGCAGTGACTACAGCAAGAATTTGATCCCTGGCCAGGAAGGAGACCCACATAGCATGGCAGACCTCTCCTGTCCCACCCACTGCTCCCCTCAGCAGTGTACTTCAGTACATCTTTCTGTTCTGTTTCCCACTCTGTCTCTGGTGAATCCTCTCAACCCCCACAATGTCTGGCCTGTACTCCAATTCTGTATGCGTAAATAAATAAATCTTTTTTAAAAACTATACTTATAATAATTTAGCATTCAGTTAAAGTACCTGACAATGTTTGTTATCATTTGATGTAGACAGCTTTTATTGTCAGTCAGAATCTAATTTTCCTGAGAGGAATGAGTCTTATTCCACAGGTCTCTCTAAACCACTATGATTTGGGGACTTATAAGTACTGAGGAAATGCTTAATCGCTGTGAAGAACAGGTTGAATGTGCTTGTGCTTGTTTTCACACACATGTTGAATACACACAGAAGTTAAGGAAATGAGTACAATCTTAGACAGTGAGGTGAGAGAACGACACTATGTGAAACTGCAGAATATAAGATTTATTTAAGGGAAAAAAACAGTGTGATTTGGACACTTTTGTTCTCCCCATTAATACCATACTGCCAACATATCCTGGTCTCTAACATCTTCAGGGAGCCACTGAGGTCCTATCAAGATACTTAGCTGTCTAATATAACTATTCCCCCATCGCTTCCTCCTCTCCCTCCTCCTCCTCTTCTGTCCAGCTCAGATCATCATCTGAATCCTCAGATTCTTCCTCATCCATCTCTAATCCAACCCCTGCCCTAGCCTTCTCAGCCACTGCATCAGGGTGCTCCAGCTGGGCCCAGGACCCTGGGTCAGCCTTGACCAGGGAGATTTCAACCCGAGATGGCATCAAGGAGACAGAGCTCTGCTCCACGTTTATGACCTGAGAAGGAGGGAAAGACAGAACACAGAAGAAAGAGAAAATGAGGAAATCAAAGGGATTTGGGCTAGGGTAGGGTAGTAATGAATGACAGTGAGAAAATTTTAAAGTGTAAGGTGGGGGGGGAAAGATAGGGCAGGTATAAAGCAATATACTAAGGGAAGGGGAGGAAGGAGAGAAAAGGAGAAATGGAGAGAAGAGAGAATATCAAAGCAAATGAAGAGAAAAATGTCCACTTTCCCCCTATAACTCCATCCCTGAAGACACCCTCTGTTCATTTCCAATTGCTCCTTTTTTTTTTACCCCATCTCCCTTCCCCTCCTGGGCCCCCTTAATCTCCACTTACCCCCCAGAGCTTCATCTGTGCTTGGAACACACGGTTACCATCAAAGACAATGTGGACATGAAGCTGAGAGAAAAGAATTACAGGGATAGTAACAATCTCAGAAGATCAGCACAAGTAATTATGACAGAGAAGCAAGCCAGAGGTGTGATTCCAACATCCACAGGTCAACCAGATAACCCTGACCTAATAATAGTTGTACATTCTTCTCAGGGAACTATGGAACCTACACGTTACCTGCATCCAGCAACTCTGCCTATAATATTGTATTATGACCCAAATCACTAGCCTCCCATCTAGAATCAGACATTCCTTACCTCAGTTTGACTGGCCTTCACCCAACTGAATGCAGGAAGTGGAATCTGGCCATACACCGTCACCACTACTAAGGAATCTGTCTGGTGCCAATCATGACGACAAGATGCTGGCAGCTAAAGAGAAAATGTGAAATATGGGTGGTAAGAATGAAATCTTAACCCAAGGGGAGTTCTCATAGGATGTGTGGAGAAGAGACAAAGAAGTCTCAGAAAGATTAACACTACCTCATATCGCAAAGCCTCTGGGCTACTGAGGGATAACGAGCAGAATCTTATTTGGTCCATACTAAAGGGAAAAGACAGAACCTGGCTATGAGGTATAGGAAGAAGAAATCAATTCTGGAACTGAATTCTACTTTAGAGTTCAGGAAAGTTGTGGCTTACCTGCTTCCCCCAGTCATGTCTACCAACTCTGCATCCTGGTTGTGCCAGGAATGCCCCAAAATCCAGGGTCTGGATGCCACAACAGCTCCAAGATTTCATCCTGAGGTAGGAAGATGATGCAACTGACTCTTCTTCTCCTCCTCACAAGCCTTTACTCCCATCTTATAGTCAACATTGGGAGAAACCTGTCTCAATTCACACAGTCCCCTTTCTCACCCCTCATGGAATCGAGGTGCTCCTGGGTGGTAGGTACATGGAGTAGCATCACTCTCAGGGCCTTGATAAACCTATGAAGAATAAATCAAGATGAGATAAAGAATCGTGCCATGCCTAAGTGTGCCCCATATAGCCTCATACCTATACCCATTTATCCTTAGGTATAGTATATCGCTCAGCCACATGCCTGAGCTTCCCACTGCAAACTCACTCACAGCATCACATCCTGGGTTCTGGCAACTGGAACCAGTCTGAATCAGACTACTGTCAAGTCCTGTGCAAGGGAAACAGAGTCAGGAACCCCTCCACTCCTCCCACCCAATTGCCACTTTCACTAAATTTGTCTGTAAAGCCTGTCCAACTAAAGATCCACTTACCTGCTCCGGATTCCTGGTCTAGTTCCTTTTGCTCCAATGCCATTTCCAATGCTTGGGATATATGTAGTGGCAGCAGCTTTGGAGGCAACTCTGACCTAGCAGGCATGGGTGAGATGATTTAGTTATAATCCATTAACCATGATTGACGGCTCCAACACTCCCACCAGTGGTAATGGAGTTGAAGAACCCATCTGGTCAAAGTGGGGCAGTGTTGAAGAAGTTGGGTAGCCATCCCATTGCCAATTTTCATTTCTGTGGACATCCCAAATTCCTGAACCCTGAGGAAAACCTCAGGGTTTCTCTTGCCCATATATTCAGTTGCTCTAACACTAACGTCGTTTCTCTGAAGAACTGTTATCTTTTCCTTTTCCTATAATTAACTATGAACCAAATACAACTTTCTTGTATTTCCACAAAATTCTAACTTACTGTTCTCTTCAACCTCATAGCTGACCATACTACATCCTTTTCTTAATGTAAAACTTATGTGAAAGCTCTTTCCTGGAAGGAAAAAAAATCAAGTCATTCTCAATAATCGCCCTTGTATAATAACTGTATTCATGAGGGACTATATATTCTGTTGACTTGAAATATCTATCCTATCACCCCATGCCACTTTAGAGAAAAGGAAACTATTTCCATATACAAATTTCCCCCAAGGCACAAAATACACACTAAGCCCTGACACCTGGCCCTCCTCAAGCCTCTAGTCCTTAGTTCCCAAATCCCAGTGACCTATTAATCATGCCTAGAAGTTGTATGGATGTAGGAAAAACCCAGGGATTGCCTCCTCTTTACTTGGGCCTCTCCCGGCGCAAGGTCTCTGCTGACTTTGGAAACACAGTCAGAGGTTTTTGCTCCTGAAGTGAACTGCTTGTGGCAGGGCCCTCGGGTTGAAGGGCCTCAGAAAGCTTCTCAGCAGAATGTGGTCCCACTGTACAGCCCTAGTACAGATAAGGAGAGGATTAGGGATGGAATCCTTCTACTAGGAGCAGAATCCAAGGAAGTTGAGTTTACCTTGATGTTTAAGAACTCAGAGAAATCTACAGTTCGCTTCCGGCAGCAGGACCAACCCTGACAAGAGAACCAGCGTAGCTTAGCCCACTGAGCAGGTATATGTCCTTGGGAAATGCTACCCCCTCCTCACCTTAAGTGCATCATGGAAGATGGGGACCCCAGGGTGATGGCAACAAGAATCTGTAGATAACAGGTAGAAAGGATCAAGGAAGAAAAGGTATCTATACCAAGAATCACTCACCTCTTTATAACAGGTTTGATTTCTTTCAATGTAAAAAATTAAACAGTAAAGCTCACCCACACCAATTAAACACAAGACAGGTACACCAGATTTCTCTCCATGTTCCTTTTAAAAGAACGCCCAAAACTATAGGGTCCCTAACACCTACAGCCCTTTGGCAAGATCAAGATTAGTCTACTCACCAGGAAGGTTGGTATTCGGGTCAAAGTGCTGCCCACATCCTTTGTTATGGCAGAGTAGAGCCATGGAGGTATTGGTAAAATTACTGAAAGGGTATTTCAAGGAGTCTGGCTGACTAGTGGGGGAACACCTCTTACTCTGGAGGTTTTTAGCTGCTTGGAAGGGCCAGCTGTTTCTATCTTTAGTTCAGGAGGCGTACACCTCCTAACATGGGCAAGGGAACTTCAATTGGTCTTCCCAGCCAATAGGAAAGAACACAGGAGGCTCTTTAGCTCTGAGGCTCAGGAAAAAGGGATCAGTCAGAGTAGGAATTGGAACTTGGATGAGGTCAGCTAACCACCACTGAGACAGTTTTAAATTTACCATGCCAATTCCAAGCCTCTGACGTACCAGCAGCTGCTCAGAAAATGTTGAGACTGACCCCACCCCCAGCTCAATGAGGGTACCCAATTTTCTCCAGACCATTTTTCCTCTTCCAAAACAGGCTTCTTGACTGCCATCCTCATTAATTCTATTGTCAGTAGTACTGATCTTTGCCAACTACTTCAGTCCCTCTATGCCTCTGACCTCTCCATGTTGGCCTCATGGATGTTTAATACTTTAATTAAAAGGTCATAAAGGATCATTTTCATAAAGCCCAGTGATCATTTGAGATTTCCCCCACCTCCCTCCCTTCCCCTTCAAAAATAGCACAGAAAATTAAAAGGCTTAAAATGTATTTTAATAAGGTGATGCTGCATTACTGCTCCATCTCAGAAAAACTCCAAAGATATCAGGGACAAATCAAACATGGTACACCAATAAAAATGCACAGCCTAACTACCTAAGATAGGCAAGGCTAAGAGCTACTGTCTGACCTTCAACATACAGCAACCCTGTTCCAAGATTGTACTAAGCCTATCAAGAAAAGCTGTGATCAGCAACATTATAGACACAGAAGGGCAATTTCCAGGCTGTCCTTACCCAAGAAAAAGATGGAGGCAAGTTAACACAAGATTTCTTTTCAGATATGCTAAAATGAAAATCTCTAAGAGAAAATGTCTTCCTTAGGACACAAAGGGGGTAATATATGGGGTATAACAGAACCGTATGCATGTTATCTGTGACCTCTGTGGACATTTGCCTGAATTCCCACCTGGGAGTGAATGGAGCAATGGGGCTAAGGTCATTGGGGGATGTTTGGTTTCTGTGGTATATGTGGCAGTGTCTTGGGGGTTGGAGGGTATAAGAATGAGAAAGCAAATAAAACAGGATGGACAAAGCATGGAATGATAGAGATTACTGGGGCTCTAACTGGATCCATTTTGTCATGTTCCCCCTAGGCTCTCAACAATCACATGAGACTTTAGGAATGCACCACACAGAACTGATTAGTTAAACAATGTACCACACAGAACTTACTTGTTAATTATCACCCCTCCCTTGCCCTCTGCCTCCAGCATACTCCCTAGAGTAGTACAGGCAGGGAAATCCTAACTATTGGGAGGAATCCCTAACACTTTTCCAGGGTAGAATTCTGGCTAGTCCAAAAAGGGTCCTTTTCTTTAAGGGTTTTGGGAAACTAGACACTGCAATTTTATTAGTATCGGCGACGTTTGTTTGGAGCAAATTCAGCCCCAGGAGCTGCTCGATTGAATGCGGGAGGGGTTCCACCAATCGCTCCAATTCCTTCCATGGTAGCAGCCTGGCCAAAGCGTTCAGTTGTTGGTGGAGTCTTAAAGAGATAAAGAGAGAACAGTGTTACAATAGAATGGATGTCCTTCTGCAATCCCTTTTTTGGAATCCATTTCCACCCAACTATTTAAGAACCTTGACATTAGAGGTGACTAAGCCTGTTTAGAACTCTAGCGGATATACCTGAAAGGAAGGTTGCCTGAACTATGGATGCATGGTAACTTTTTTTTTTAGTTTATTTTTACATCATTTTGTACATTTTTTTTCCCATCTCAATTGTAATCCCCGCAGGTTTCCCATCATCAAGTCACCCGTGTGCCATCACCATAATCCCATGCATTCCCCCCCCCCCCATTTTTGATCCCATTCCCCACTCCACCCCCACAAAATGTCTCTGGTATATGGTTGTTCATTATTTTTGTTATTTTCTCGCCTGGTCCATTATACTCCTGCTAGGATGTATGTAACTTTTTATCTGTATTTCTATTTGCCAAACATTATTATATACTAAATTCCTAGGGAAAACAAGTTTTAGTTAATTCCTTGTTTCTTGAATTTGGTAGGTGGACAAGGGTAGGCCACTACTCTTCAGCAATCTTATGCCTCTCCAATTAGAACGAAATCCAACTCAGAATTGTACAAACAGCCGTGTTTTATGTGACAATACTTTAAAAAAAAATAAAAGATTTATTCATGCATACAAGAGCTGGGGAGTGGGGGGAGAGGATTCACCAGAGAACAGAACAGGTGGAATGACTGAAATACAGTGCCAAACGGAGCAGCAGGCAAGACAGGAGAGGTCTGCTGCACCATGTGGGTCAGCTCCCTGGCTGGGGATCAAACTCGTGCTATAGTGGCTGCCAATAAATAGCTTCATGTATTGAAATTTAACTCCTTATGCCACCAGGGAGGCCCCTTATGTGATAATACTTAACCTTCACTGCTTCCCTCTCAAAAAGAACCAATTCATCCAGGATAGCAACTAAAAAGTCAATCTGACTGGCCAGCCATATAGATTCGTAGATAAAGTAGAGTCGGAGACTGACTGCTCAAAAACAAAGATCTTAAGGTTACATTTGGTGTATTCTAATAAATCTAATAAATCTGTAGCAAAAGTATGGCAGGTCTAGGAACTGTAAAAACAAAGCTCTTTCTCCTCCAGTCAACATTTACTCTAAGGCCCTGTATTTTATTACCAATCCCAAGGTTCCATCTGGCATCATAGCAGCAGGTCCTGGTGGAGCAGGGGTACCAGCTGGCACAGGTGCAGGGGGCATGGCACCTCTGTTGTTTATGCCCATAGCACCTAAAGCAAAGTAATATGATCAGTACAAGAAATCTTTCATTTCCTTCTGGAAAAAAAACAAAAACAAACAAACAAAAACACACTCAACTAGACCTCTGGGCTAAAATGTGTCATACTCCTCCCCCAAAATATTGTTCCTGGAAATGTCAACCCTTTAAATCAAACTTAAGTAGTGACCAGAAATGAGATCAAAAAAGGAAATCAAAGCTGTTAACCTCCTAAATCCTTACCTCCCATAGCCATCTGGCCCATCCGTATCTCCTGCTCTCTCTGAAAAACAAAACAAAAGCCACTCAAGACAACTCAAAACAGTACTGCACTCTACCACAACCCATGGAGGATCACACACTAAAGAAAATGGATAATAGTAACACATCCCAAGAATGCTAAAACCTCACAGAGGAACACACCAACAGCTCCTTGATAATTGTTCAGTTGAATTCAGGTCATAGCCACCAGAACACAAAGTCAAGGCCTCCTATTAGGAATAGGAGCTGGGAAAGGAACAGGGAGAAAGAACTGATTTCTTGTTCCAGCCTGTACAATCCTGAGGCTGCTGTATGACTTAACTGCAGGTACTGTCTCTAAATAGCATATAATGGTCCCAGCTTTTCATCCTGAATTGCCTTTAAGGTAAGAAGAATGACCCTGCAAACATTACCTTTTTAAATTCTTTTTACAGGGAGTTTCATAGATTAGAAAAATTCATCATGAACTGGTACATATTCTATAGTCTGAGTAAACAATTCACAGTGGGCCTGTCATGTCATCACTGGCCTAGTACATCATGGACACATGGGAGATATACCGCATCAGGGAAGGTTCCCTTGAATCCTTCCTGCTGTCGCCGCATCATTTCTTCCTGCTGTCTCCGCATCTCTTCTTCACGGCGCCTACGCTCCTCCTCCTGCCTAGAAAGAGTCAAAACAAAGTAAGCAGAGACATTCCAGAACCTGAGCAAGTTATAGGGGACTCAGTCAAGGAAATCTTACTGAAAATGACCATAGCTCTCCAGGAAACTCACTGTTAAGTGTGCCTAGCCCTAAAAGCAACACAGTCAGAAAAAAAAAAGAAAAATACCAGATGGTTTCACTCATAGCAGGAGCATAAAGGACCGGGGGGAAAAACAATAATGATAAACAACTAGATACTAGAGACATGTTGTGGGGGTGGAGTGGAGAATGGGATCAAAAATGGGGGGGGGTACACCAGACTATGGTGATGGCACACAGGTGAACTGGTGATGGGCAAGTCCAAAGAGATTGCAGCTGAGATGGAAAAAGGGCACAAAACGATGTAAAATCAAACTATTTTACACACACACACACACCACACGCACAAAAGCAACCAAATGTGTCTATCAGGGGAAAAAAGTTTTCCTTTCTCAAAGGTATCTCATGGGACCAGCACTCAGCTACTTTTTCTTTAAGGTAGCCTCAGTTAACCCCTCAAATCTAAACCCCCCCCCCAACCCAAACAAAGGTAGGACTTTAGAGGCAATCAAGAAATACATGGCAATATATTTACATACTACATATATACCAAAAGTTTCATGAAGACCACCATCAGGTAGCATGGTGGTCAGAAGCAAGAGTGAGACATAACTGTTTAGAGTTGTGAGAGAAAAAAAGTTCAGAGAAAAAGTTACCTGAGCTCTAACTGCTTTCGTTTTTGCACTTCTTGATTATGCAGTTCTTCCATCCTTCGAAGTTCCTCTTGACGCCTCATCAAATCTAGAGAAACCAAATGAATAAAAGTATCCTCCATTCCTCATAAAGATCAATAGTTCTCCCTAGAGATCCAGAAAGCAAAGTGGATATAAAAACCTTGGTTGGCCATCTAAGTTATCCATACTCCACAAATGAAGTCAAACCTATTATTTCTTTCTCCTTAGAATCCAGTATTCTGTTATTATCTTCAAGCTCATTTGATTACCAAAATAAACAAAATATTTCAGAACCAAAATAAACTGAGGCCTCTCTTGATTGATACAAAGAAACTTTAAGAATTATTCTGATCTTTTAGTTGTAAGACTTATAGGTCCCATACTCACCCTGCCTCATTAGCATGACCTGGTGCTCATGGCGAGCAGCCTCCATTTCCATCTCTAGCTTCTCACGAGCTTCCTTGATGTTGCGGTCCACTTGGTCCTGCTGCTGTTTCTC